AAGCTTTCTCAGCTTATCCAAATAGAAGAAAAATATACTGGGCAGCTTGCTCTAGCTTTTTAATAGACAAATTGAGAAAGGCATTATTCTTGAACAACAAATTCAATTTGTTCCATACCAGTTGATATACAATCCTACTAGTAACTATATTCTACTTCAACCAGATAGATTATCCCAAGTAAAAGAAGTAGGTATATTATAAGTCCATCTACTTCCATAGCTAAACAAACATGAAAATTTGAGAAAAGAAAAACAAGTCCTCCTACCTGGCAACCCTACAGATTGGCTTATAGCTACAAGGCAATAAGCAAGAACTTTACTAATGTCTAGAACAAAAGTGGAAATCTAGGTAGAAAACTGGGAAGCCATGCTAATAAAACAAGCTATCCAATTAAATAAACTTATAGATGAACTTATAAATGTCTTGAATTATAATAGAATGAGTATGGCTACTTAGTTTACTTTCTATACTAATGGATTATATAAAAAAGAAACAAAAGATAGTAAGCTTGAAATGGATTTGGCTTGGATTCTAGTAGAAGACAATAAAGTTGTAAAGCAATTCTCAGCAGGGGAATCAACATGGCCATCAGCAATCAGAGCAGAAATATTGGTTATTTTAACTGCAATATATATAGCTTCTCGAAATACAATAGTCTCAATATTCTGTGATTGTAATACTGTAGTTAAGACATGAAAGTCCATCAGTGCACAAGTGGAGATATCAACAAGAAGATGGACAAAGACTGCTAATTGATCATTATGGAGTAAAATCAAAAATTTAGTTAAAAAGAAAGATCTCACCTTGAAAATTATAAAGGTTAAAGTCCATATCGATAAATTCAATAATCAAGTAAATCTGCTTATCAAACAAGCTAGACGTGAAAATCCAATAATTTGGCATCAACTATTAGAGTTAGGGATAGTTCTGACAACAGTCACATAGAGAGAGCACATGATAGACATCAGTATTAGAGAATTTGTCAAGACGTTTAACAAGAAAAAGATAGGAAAAGATTGGACACCACAAAAAAGGATCCAAGAACTGTGGATTCAAAATAATAAAATTATAGACTGGTTGATTTTCTGGAATCAGTTCAATCCATCTAATACCTTCGATACCTTTTTCAAAGATAATAAAGACAAAAGCTTTCTAACTAATCTGATCCATAATGAACTTTCAATATTATAGATATTAAAGAAAAGAAAACTAGATATTTATATTATAACAACATGTCCAGTATGTAAATTTCAAGGAAAAACTTTAGCACACTTATTCGAATATTCATCTAACAAAGAAATCAGAAAGGATATATGGAGAAAAGTAAAGGAAAAGTTCAATCAATATATTAGTAAAGAAATCAAAAACAAAGAAGAAGTCCACCCTGCAACCAATAACTGGACAAGTAAATGGTTAAACAAGATTCAGCGATTTGATAGAAGCCTTTTCAATACTATTTGTGAATATATAGAAGAGAACAAAACCACTTCCTGGAAGAATTACCTCAAAATACAACTCAAAATTCCCCTAATAGTCACACAAAGTATAATCGATAAGCTTTGTTATAAAATGAAAAAAAATTTCAAGAAGGATATATGGAATAGCCACTGCAAAAAAGTTATAGAGTGAAAAAAGAAGTAAAATATTACTGAAAAGGATAAACGAATCAAAAGGTATGGATACCAATCCATTATGCAGGTCATATAAGAACAGAAAAAAGAATCCATACTTGTAAAAGATACAGATCAAGATATCTCTGAAAGAAAGGAGAAAATGAAGTATATAGAAATCATCAAGGATTGAATTTATTATAGAAGGAAATGGTTTGATTTTTAACTGCAGTTGAAATTTAGAATGATCTATAGTAATAATCTGTAAATAATGATTTTATTAATTAGAGGATTTATCCAAGTCAGTAAAGGTGTGAAATATCATTTCCTAAGTTGCATCTAGAGAAATAGTTTTTTAATGATGGGTAAATTAGTATGTGAAAGTCAAAATAATTTGTAAATATCTGATATATATACAATAAAGACAAGCCATGCTGACCTGACTGCAGGTTAAAAAAAAAAAAAAATCATTTATAATTGAAAAGAATATTTCTGAAATATTTATTTCTCAATAGTTTAAATCTTTTAAAAAAAATATTTATAATATTAAAAGACTAAGAAATAAGTAAGAAATACTTTTTTTCTATAGCAAATAAGTTCTAAAAAAAAAAAAAAACTAATAGTGAAGTATAAAAGACATATTTTCTAAAGTAAAAATACAATTAGAGATTTTCTACAGTGAATTAATAAATGAACAAAAGCCTAAATTCAAAAACTTTCCTTTTCACTGTTTCTAGTCTCTTAGAATTATTTATTTTTTAGAGTTTTTAAGAAATTTTACCTATTTCAACTTGATTCTAAATTTTGAAGTAATACAAAATCAATATAATCTTTGTTAAAGATAATTAGTTGACATTAATTATATTCATAGTAGAATATAAACAAGCTTCTATTGATTACATTATATATTCTAATAACATTATTGATAAAAGAAAGTGAAATCATTGATATAATCTCTTTCATTTCTTCAAATAAAATATAATTAAAATGAAGAAATTATAAAAATATTAGAATAAGTATTAAATTCTTTAAATAATGAAAAGTTGGTTATTTGTTTAAGTCAAAATCTTCAACTTTTTATTATTCTAATTAGGCAAAGTACACAAAGAAAATTATTTCCTTATCCTAGTTAGACTATAAGACTAAAAAGCAAAGAAATATAAAATATTGCTCTTAGAATTAAGAATATATTTTTTCAGATGTTTTATATAAATATTATAATTGATAGGAATTTTTACTACTAGTTTACTTTCTTATCATTACAAGACAAAAAAATTGTTGTGAAATCTGATTTTTTGGATAATAAAAGATAATTATCAGTAAAATTCCTTTAACTAGGCATAGTTGTTAAAAAATATCAGAAGTTATATAATAAAATTGAAAAGCTATATAATAATCTGGGATTTTTTATCAGTCATTTTGTTTTATGTGGATAGAAACAAAATCAAGATTGAAAAAAAGAAGTGTTAAGCAAAATATTGGATCTGAATAGGTGATAAATACCTTAGACAATCACAAGAAAATAATCAAAATTATAGATAAATAAATTCTTCACTTAGTTAAAAAGAAGAAAGATATTTCAGAAGGGTTGATTCCTAATGAAAAGAAGTTTCTAGTAAAGGTCCTTTGGAGAATATGGAATACTTTTATTTTTCTTTTTTCATTTTTCTCTTTCATATAATATACTTGTATATTTTTAAATATATCTTTTTTCTTTTATTTTTTTCTTCTTCTTTTATAGTTTTTTGAAATCAGTTCTTTGAAGAATAATAAGCAATAATAGCTTGCTAACAATAATTTGTAAATTAAAAATATATTTATCTAAAATTTACTATGAAATAAAATATTTTTTTCAAGATTATACTTAAAGGTTAAAGCTCTTTTAATAATTGAAACCATTGATGAGCATATCAATATGAAACTTAGTTTAGCTATGATGCAATTGTCCTATATACCTTTATTAGTTTTCATATTAATTAATAAATATAGTACTGGTTTAACCATAGATATTATAAAAAAAAAATAAGATTATGATTAAAAATAACTATTCAATAGTATTAGGAATTATTTTTATTACTGTATATTATAAAAAAATACTTAGTAAGATGAGATATTAAAATAAGTTTTGAATCAAAAAGTTAAAATATGATATGAAAGTTTTAGTAAAATAATTTAGAGAAGAGTAATAGGATTTTCTTTTATCAATATATTACAGAAGTCTAGTATTATATTAGACAAATAGATTTATTATAAACTTTAGAAATAACTTAAATCAAGATACTGGATCACAAGAATATAGATAAAGATATTAGGGAATAGTAAAATCTGTATAAATGCAATTCAATATATAGTATGTGCTGTAACTCTTTTATAAAAAAGCTAAAGGATATTAGTATCTTCAATAAACTTGGTATTATTAACTCTTACAAACTTATAAAGTGTTATATAATCAAACTTAGAGACTTCTTCAACTTAGAACAAGTTTGTTATGCAATGCTTAAGAATATTTTATTTTAAGTAATCAGTTTAATGAGTTATTGCAAAAAAAATTTTTTTTTTAAAAAATCTATATACTATATTCAGAAAAATCAAACTTCAATAATGAATAAGTTGATAAATATTCCATGTATATACTATATGTAATAAAAAATAAGCAATATTAAATTGTAAGTTAAAAAAAAAATATATATTTTTTTTATATACTTACAGTATTTGTACAGTATTTCCGTTTCTCGTCAATTTTATGTTTAATCTAAAGGCGAGATTAAAATCACGTGATAAATCAGTCAGCCAATCAACACAAGACGGGTAAAATAACGTCGAAAAAAAAGCATACGAAACTTCAACTCTGGGAATCACGCGCATAACAGAGATGGTCAACCCCAATATGAATGCTGTTTACGCGACAGATGAGTATGGACGTCCCTTCATTATTGTCCGAGAGCAGCAGAAAAAGAGTCGCCTTAGTGGGATCGAGGCAATAAAGGTTCGTTTAGCGTGATCACCAATTATTAAATCAAATAGTGAATTCTGCTTTGAATTTAAATCTGTCTTATTTTCCTTAAATAGTCACATATATTAGCAGCAAAGACCGTTGCCAACATTATTAAAACTTCTTTGGGACCAAAAGGTATGGATAAGATACGGTTTGGTTTTTTAACTCGAATATATTTCATATCAACTGGCTTCAACTCGCGATTTTTATTATATACTATACTCTACTCTGTCTCCCTAATCATTCGCGATTGAAGATAATTCTTGTGCTGGAACAGTCAGTTCATATATTACATTACTCATCTATCTTCTTACGCTTAGGTCTCGACAAAATTTTGATATCGCCAGACGGAGACATCACAGTTACCAACGATGGAGCCACAATTCTGACTCAAATGGAGGTAGAGCACCAGATTGCAAAATTATTAGTCCAATTATCTAAGTCGCAAGACGATGAAATTGGGGATGGCACAACCGGTGTAGTCGGTACGTTTCAGATATCGTGTCCTTTAACGGGCTAATTCATGTTTACTATTAAAAAATTTTGTAACGTTTGATTTTATTTTTTTCGTACTCGTTCGCGTTTATAGTTCTTGCTGGTTCCCTTCTTGAACAATGCGAAAATCTTTTAGACCGCGGAATCCATCCAATTAGAATCTCGGATGGATTTGAGAGAGCGTGCAAAGTTGCCGTGGATCATCTGAATGAAATCTCTGATGTGGTTGAATTTACGAAAGACAATACCGATAATCTCTTCAAAACCGCTATGACATGTTTAGGAAGTAAAATGTGAGTAATTATTTATTCGTCTATTAGAATGCCAATTTTTGCGCTCACATTTTATTCTCAATTTTGGCTGTTTAAATTTGAAGCGTCTCGAAACATCATGAACAATTCGCCAAAATAGCTGTAGACGCTGTTTTATCAGTAGCGGACTTTGATCGCAAAGATGTCAATATTGATGAGCTTATCAAGGTTGACGGTAAAGTTGGTGGCTCTCTCGCAGATACATCCCTTGTACAAGGAGTTGTGGTGGACAAAGACATGTCGCATCCGCAAATGCCGCGTGAAGTTCGTGACGCCAAAATTGCTATATTGACATGTCCATTCGAACCACCAAAGCCAAAGACGAAGCATAAGTTAGACATTACATCTGTAGAAGAATATAAAAAATTACAGGTTTATGAGAGAGAAAAATTTGAAGAGATGATCAAGCGCGTTAAGGATACTGGTGCTAATTTGGTCATTTGTCAATGGGGATTTGATGATGAAGCCAATCATTTACTGATGCAGAATAAACTACCAGCTGTTCGATGGGTTGGTGGTCAAGAGATTGAGGTACCATCAAATGTTAAGTTTACTAATGTAGTAAGATATTTAGCGTGAATGCTAATATGTCACGTGCAAAACAGTTGATCGCTATTGCTACGAATGGTCGTATTGTACCACGTTTTGAGGATCTTCGTCCAGAAAAGCTTGGTACCGCAGGAGTTGTGCGTGAGGTTTCTTTTGGCACCACAAAGGATCGCATGTTAATTATTGAAGAATGTTCAAATACCCGAGCTGTCACCATATTTGTTCGTGGCAGTAATAAAATGGTAAGGATTCCTTATTGATGTTATACCATTCACCATGTAATTAGTATATAACGCGCAAGGCATTTATTATTCGAATATTTATTAGATTATTGATGAGGCAAAACGCGCTATTCATGATGCACTTTGTGTAGTACGTAATATTGTCCGTGATAATCGAGTCGTGTATGGAGGTGGTGCCGCTGAAATTAGTTGTTCACTGGCTGTGTCTAAAGCCGCTGATCAGGTATTCTTTCAATATTATTTGTAAAAATTGGGCTATTATAAAATTAAGAATTGCGTTTTCACTCGGCTAATAAATAGATATCATCCATCGAGCAACACGCTGTCCGTGCATTTTCTTATGCTTTGGATGCAATCCCATTAGCGCTGGCTGAAAATTCCGGGCTTTCTCCCATAGAAACATTGGCCGATATTAAATCGCGGCAGGTTACCGAAAATAATAGCAGACTTGGTATTGATTGTATGAACACAGGATCTAATGGTATTAAATTTTATAACTATTATATATATATTTTATATTTTTTACGTTGTTAATGTCATGATTATTAATGAGGTTCATTATGATAAAGATATGAAGGAGAAATTCGTGTACGATCCGCTCATATCCAAAAGACAGCAATTTTTGCTCGCCACACAACTTGTTAAAATGATTCTTAAGATAGATGATGTGAGTATTCTTTATGCGTACTTTTCAAAGATAATTTCGTTTTTATTTACTTTTTCTTAAATTACTCCAGGTTATTACTTCAGGAACGGTAGAATGATCGGGCTTAATGTTCTAATCGATTAATGTAACTTTGATTGTGGGCAAAATAAACAGGGCATAGATATTTAAATGTGTGTGAGCTTTACTTTCATATGAGATTTTTCTAATACAATGTATGATTATCTCGATACATTAATGAATTATTTAAATTCGAAATTATCATACATTTGTTAATTTTAAAATGAAAATAGACTTTAACTTTTTCGCGAAATTTCAAGTTAATTTCGGCCTGAATTAATAATTAATTCTAGCCGAGTCCAATTAAATTTGATGACCGGAATTGATTAAATCTTACCGGGATTTATTAATTCCGGCCGGATTTGGTTAAATCTTACCGGGATTTATTAATTCCGGCCGGATTTGGTTAATTCTGACCAGACTTACCAATATGAATTTATTTTTATATCCATTTAAAATTTTTTATCAAACAAACACCTTAATCATTTACTCAGGCAATTTAAATGCAAAGTTATATTGGAAACATCTAATTATAAAGAATTTTATATTTTAATTCACAGTGCATATACTGTACATACTATTGTATAGCTTGTAAACTTGATATACAGTATTATTTTCACTAAAAATAGCAAAACTTAACTGTTTGTCATATTTAATAGTAGCAAAATTAAAAAAAATTTTTTTATGATATTTTACTTCATTCCTTTTCAATCGTTTTCGTGGGTTTCTAGTTTATACAAAATAAGATCTCATAATTTTTTTAACAAAAAAACTTTTTTTAATCATTCTTGATGTCGACATTTGAGGATAGTACTTTTGCAACCATGACGATATCTTTGCCAAATTGTTTATACTCGACAATACTCAATGTAGGAAATATATCATCACCTTCCTGTAAAGAAAAAACAAGTTAGTTTACGAAATATTCACGTAAAATCAAGAGTACGTTGAATTTACATTTTTGTGGTCTTCATCCAATCCGTTACACGTGACGGAGACAGCATTCGCGCCAACCAGAATAGGAGCGATTGTGACAACCAATAGATTCACCATCCCACTCCTTAGGAAAGAATTAATCACTTGAGCCCCACCTTCTACCATTAAACGAGATATCGAGAATGGCGGATCACGTAAGGTTTTCAATAGGTGATCTATTGACAGTTTTCCTGTTAAGATTCCGATGAAATAGATCGAGATTTTTTACTTGATCTTAATAAGAAAAAATTTTCTCGATTTTGTATGCGAAGATTACCTTCAGGATCAGAGTTGATAGGAATTACCCTTGCGCCAGATTGCTCCAGAAGCTTATTTCATGGGCAAAGGAAATGACTGTCGATTGTATTCGAGTGGTGTAAATTGATTGATAAAATCTTGGTTGAACTTACTAACCTGCCTTTTATTAATATCGTGAATTTGATCTGTGAAAATCCAAGGTGCTTTGCATCCCTGTGCCTTGGATGATAACATTCTAGCTGAAAGAGGGAAACGCAATTTTGAATCTAATATTATTGGTTGCGGCTGCCGAACAGATGATTCTTCACTGGGATCAAATAATCTTGCTGTGAATATGCACGTTCATAAAAATTGGAATCAATATCGAAAATCTTTGCGGATGATAGCTTTTTCCACAAACCTGTCAACCGAGGATCATCATTTAATAAAGTACCGATACCGACCAGTATGCCATCGTGCAAAATTCTAAGTCTAACATGAGCAGACAGGAGAAAATGGTCACTATCGAGACACGTGATTCTCTTGAGAGAGGTCTGAAGCATATTAAAATACCTATGCGTCATTATCATTGATTCTTCACAACTCAATGTTAAACTTCCGCCACCACGTCCGGATATCATACCATCAAGACTTTGAGCGTATGTAAGAGTGACGAAAGGTACGGTACCTTTGACCTGGGTGGTTTCATTGTCTAAAATAGTTGTGCAAAATGATTTCGCCCGTTCGTAACTTGACATTTTGTGCGTTTAAAAGAAACTACGGGATTTCACATGTTAATTGTCATCTATGTTAGATAATCAATATGCATAATCTTGTTACGTAACTCGAGGCGTGCCATTTCATGATTAAAAAAAGGTGGTCATTACTGAAGCAATAGCAATTTCCATCTTCAAACGTTAAAACGATGTCGGAACAATTTTCGTGGAATAAATAATATCATAGCTTTATTACATCGAAATTCTATACACCTCTAAATTATCGTTTCATGCAAGAAACGTGGTTGTGCATTTACGAAATGGCGAAATGTGCACAGCCAAACAATGAAACTTTATACAAATATATTGTTATCAAGCTATTTGTAAATAGACTGAAAAAAACGAGTCATTTCTGAAATATGAATGAATTTAGATTAATAAGGAAATTTCTTGCTCAAGTTAGAAATATCCATAACTAAGCATACCCTTTTCATCCCGGCGGAAACCGAAACGTCGTAATACTTTAAACGTTCGTTGAAAAATTTTTCAAGTCCAGTTGCACACTTTACATATATCGTCCCTTCTGCGTTGTAAATGCGACAATTGCCGAATATTGTTCTGACGTCATATACATAATCTTCAATTGATTTATAATAATTATTATCGACTTTTGATTCGATAGTGGAAAGATCTGCATTTTTTTTTTCTTTTTTAATAAATTTGGATGATTCACGATATTCGAAGAACAGATGAACATTTCTGAATTTATTTACCCATCGGATTTTTAATAACAATGTAATAATCAGGCACTTCTTCGCGATTAACGGGAACTCGAAATGGCCAGGATTTTGGATTCTTCTTTAGCTCCATAGTGATAATTGCCATAATATTACGTATAGATTTTTTGTTCCCGCGGACACTAAACATCCATTTATGCAAATTTCATTCAGTGAGATGGTGGAATATTTATAATTTTAGTATAAGACTGAATAATTACCGAGCCTCCATTTCTTCGTTCCAACCTGAATCTTCTATTGAAAAAAAAAAAATAATAATAAAATCATTTGATGTTCAATTTATATCAAATAAGAAGTTCATTGATAATCCAATTAATTCCGATGTGATATATAATGTATTTGTTTATTCAATATAGTACGCAAACTTACGAATGCCCGGTATTTCTAATGGATTTA